GGGGCGGGGAGGCTGGCGGGAGCCGCGCCTGCGCAGTCGGTGGCGGCCCGGGGCAGCGCGGGGCCTTCACCGCCCCCACCGAAACCGGGCCCCGCCGCTGCACTGTGCACGCCACGGGAATCACAGAATCGTAGTGGTTGGAAGGGACCTCAGAGATCATCGAGTCCAACCCTCCCAAAAAAAAAAAAAAAAAAACAAAAAACACCACCACCCACCCCCTAAACACACAACAACAACAACCAAACCAAAACCATCACCCACCCACACAACATCCCACCACAAACCAATAATCTTGGGCACTAGAGCATGCCCTGAATCACAGAATCACAGAATCTTCTAGGTTGGAAGCGACCTCAAAGATCATCTTGTCCAACCGTCAACCCAACTTTGACAAAAATAGACACCCACACAACAAACAAGGAGTATCATCACTAAACCAGACCTCCCAGCACTACATCAACCCGTCTTTTGAACACCTCCAGGGATGGGGCCTCCACCACCTCCCTGGGCAGCCCATTCCAATGGCTGAGAACCCTTTCAGGGAAAAAATGTTTCCTAATATCCAGCCTGAACCTCCCCTGGTGCAACTTGAGGCTATTTCCTCTTGTCCTGTCGCCTGTGACTTGGGAGAAGAGACCGACCCCCAGCTCTCTACACCCTCCTTTCAGGGAGTTGTAGAGAGCAATAAGGTCTCCCCTCAGCCTCCTCTTCTCCAGGCTGAACACCAAGACACAATATTAAAGCATTAAGCATTTTACAACGTGACTCCCATCCCTGTCAGCAAACCAAGAGCCTGAAACGGCCAACAGTAAAAACTGGCAGAGAGGCTGGGAAAATGCATAGAGAATTTTTTTTATTTAAATAACAAGGACTTAAAAATTTTGAGTTTTAATACAAGTTAAATAAAATACAGTGTAAATATCAGCTTCTGTATTTTTGCTTGTTTAGAAACTTGATACACTTTACAGCTTAAAGTGACTCGTGATTCAAATTGCCTGATCAACAGTATGATTTACTAGACATTAACACGTGGACACTTTAGATGTTCAGGAGGGTGACATACGGCGTGAATCCACTCTAGGGATTGGGTGTGCTCTGGCCAGGAAATCCTCTAAGCAGAATTTATTGCTGTATTATTTGGGATAGTTATTCCAGTCCTTAGCAGAGAGAGGTAAATATATATTATTCTGCTGCAGGCTGACCAGTGCAGTGGACTCCAAGGGTTCCTTCCTGGTCTTTCACAACTTTGGGGGAGGCACAGACTCCAGGCTCACCTCCCTCCCCAGGAGGGAGCACAGCAAGAATTCCAAGCTGGAGTTCTCTGTGTACCCAGCCCCACAGGTCTCCACAGCAGGAGTGGAGTCCTACAACTCCATCCTCACTACACATACCACTCTCAAGTACTCAGATTGCTCCTTCATGGTGGATAATGAGGCCATCTGTGACATCTGCAACCGCAACCTGGACATCGAGCGTCCCACCTACACCAACCTCAACAGGCTGATTGGACAGATTGTCTCATCGGTCACTACTTCCTTGAGATTTAACGGCGCTTTGAATGTTGACTTGATCGAATTCTAGACCAACCTGGTGCCCTACACATGGATTCACTTCCCACTCACCACTTACGTGCCCATCATCTCGGCAGAGAAAGCTGACCACGAACCACTCTCAGTGCTGGAGATCACCAACGCTTGATTTGAGTTCTCCAACCAGATGGTGAAATGTGACCCACGCCATGGCAAGTACAGGGCCTGCTGCCTGCTGCACTGGGGAGACGTGGTGCCCCAGGATGTGAACGTGGCCATTGCAGCCATTACAACACACCAGGCGATCCAGTTTGTGGACTGGTGCCCCACAGAATTCAAGGTGGCCATCAACTACCAACCTCCCACGGTGGTGCCCGGGGGTGACCTGGCCAAAGTGCAGTGGGCTGTCTGCATGCTGAGCAACACTATGGCCATCATGGAGGCCTGGGCCCACCTGGACCACAAGTTCGACCTTCAAAAGCAGTAGATTGTATAAAATACTGTGATATATATATATAAAAAGCCAGTATACTGTACAAAAAAAAAAACCCAAACATTTTTACAGTGACTTGATATCTCAACATCAGATTAGCTGCATCTGAAATTCATGCTAAATTGTCTTCTCTCAAGAGGAACTGATGGATAAACTGCTGAGCTTTCCTCTTCTCAGTTATGTCAGGCGCAGGATGCCCAGGAGGAGGTCGGAGTAACAAGCCACCAAATATACTCGCTGCAGTTAAAAAGAAAAAAAAACAACAAAAGCCACAGGGTAAGAACCTGTCAGCAGCAGGACGTCACGGGTGATTCCCCCAACCCCATGAGGGCCTGACTTCAGAACAGGATAACCCAGTGACCCGTCTCCTGGTCCTTTCCCAGCCCCCAGGCCACCGCGGGGGCTGTGGGTCCATGGACCCTGCAGTCATTATTAAACACTGCACAACAGCAGAGGCTGTGACAGCACCCACTTTGGAGAAACATGTTTTGTTACAGAAACCACAAAGCCCCTCCAAACAGAACGGTTATTTTGCTCGCCTTACCAAGAATATTCACATCCAAATGGTTTTTCCCTGAATTTTTCAGTAGTTCTCGTAGAAACGCCATTAGATATTGAAATACATTTTTATGGCACCCCGGCAGGTTAGAGATAATCTGAGGAGGGGAAAAAAAAACATTTATGTTGAAGACACGGAAATGGATTTGCAGCCTTATCTACTACCACCATCACCCCATCTACAGACACCACCAGCTCTTTATAACCACAACAAAAGCCACAGGGTAAGAGCCTGTCAGCAGCAGGATGTCACGGGTGATTCCCCCAACCCCATCAGGGCCTGGCTTCAGAACAGGATAACCCAGTGACCCGTCTAACAACAAAAGCCACAGGGTAAGAACCTGTCAGCAGCAGGACGTCACGGGTGATTCCCCCAACCCCATGAGGGCCTGACTTCAGAACAGGATAACCCAGTGACCCGTCTCCTGGTCCTTTCCCAGCCCCCAGGCCACCGCGGGGGCTGTGGGTCCATGGACCCTGCAGTCATTATTAAACACTGCACAACAGCAGAGGCTGTGACAGCACCCACTTTGGAGAAACATGTTTTGTTACAGAAACCACAAAGCCCCTCCAAACAGAACGGTTATTTTGCTCGCCTTACCAAGAATATTCACATCCAAATGGTTTTTCCCTGAATTTTTCAGTAGTTCTCGTAGAAACGCCATTAGATATTGAAATACATTTTTATGGCACCCCGGCAGGTTAGAGATAATCTGAGGAGGGGAAAAAAAAACATTTATGTTGAAGACACGGAAATGGATTTGCAGCCTTATCTACTACCACCATCACCCCATCTACAGACACCACCAGCTCTTTATAACCAAGAAGCACCAGATCTAGATCCTTTCTATTATCAGATGATTAAGTTTCCGAGAGCAAAAACCTGTTACTGGTCTGGCATAGACCAGTTTCCCCCCCCTCCCTGGGGAATCGGGCCCCCTCTCACGGCTTGGGGGGTACCTGGCTGCTCATCAGGTAGTTGTCAGTGTTCTCCAAGCAGCTGCTGTAGAACCTGTGGCAGATGACGGGCTCTGGCAGGCTCTCCAGGAAGAGCAGCAGGGCTTCTGCTACCGAGTGGTTGCTGCCAACTGACCCCAAAGACGGTTAAGGAAGAGGTGTGATCTGTTTGGGTTGTATTTCTGCTGAAACATTAATCTTTGCTCAGGTCTTCAAGAATTCCTCCTGTTGTTTGACAAAGACAGTTAAGGAAGAGGCGTGATCTGTTTGGGTCATATTTCTGCTGAAACATTAATCTTTGCTTAGGTCTTCAAGAATTCCTCCTGTTGTTTGACAGCTTTGAGTCAAATCACTTGACTCCACAGAGCAAGCTCTTTCTGCTGGCAGTCGGGCACTTAGGTCTGATCCCCACTGACCAGCAAACATTCATCGGCATCGCCAGGACTCAGCGGAGAGTCTGTGCTGATTGCAAGGAGGAGCAAGGAACAAGGAACTGCAGATCTCAGTTACCACGAGATGAGAGACAGTAATTTAAAAAACCACTGTGAAGCATAGGAGACTGATAAGCTCTTTTCCAGCTTTGATCTCTAAGGCACAGTGAGCCTCACTGGACAGCAGTCTGAAAGGATACAGAGGGTATCATGCATTCCTTTATCCAAACAATCTCGGATTTGCTCAAATTCCGATCTGAGGCCTGGTTGCTGAAACAGGTCTTCCTGCAAAGCAAACCATCCATCAGTCTCAAGGAAAATAAAAGTTATTTGGGTAAATAGAGCAACGTCATTATAATCTGGCTGTAAGAATCTCTCCAAATTGGTAGTTATCAGCACAAAGCCCACCAGGAGCAGCTCTAGTAATGCTGTGGCACTGCCACAGAGAGAAGTGCTGGTACATGCCACACACAGACAAGGCCACCATCACGGAATTGTGCAACCCCAGGTGCCAGCATCACTTATCACAGACATCCTTTACCCTTCTACCATTGGCCAAACACCCACAGATAGCAAGGACTGCCATTAGCAGTATCATCTTCAAAACTAAACCCAACGCAACCAAATTATCTTGTGTTTCCAGTACAAACGCTGCCAACCTGCTGGGAAGCGTTGCGGTACAAGTGGTCCACCATCATCCACAGCTCCTTTGGAATGTCCATAGGCTTTTCACCTTGAACAATACCATCGCTCATTTCTAGTGGCATCAGGGTCTGAGAGAGGGAGGTGTCCGGGAGGTAAAATAAAGAAAAAGGTAGTTAGCAAAGTTCTTATTCAACTCTGCAAAGATGCTTCACAGAGTTTATGCCTGAGAATTAAGACTTGAGAAACCATGTGGCTTCAGTGACCAGTCTTCACACAAGACAAGTCCAACAGGCACATTTATATCACATCAGAAGTCAAGACAGAAGAAGCAAGCTGCTCTCATACACGTGCTTCACGTAACTCAGCTTACATCAAGCCTCACACACACATGGCTGCAGAGAAAAGGTCTACACTGAGGAGCTGCACACCTTTTTTAGATGTACAGGGAGAGCAAACGTGCTTTCAGTGCTCTCTCTGTGAAATGGGCTGGTCCATGCACGTGAAGAGCCAATGCGAGGTGTGAAGATGGAGCAAAGGAGAACACGAGGGGTATCAGCACCCTCAGACCATGGACCAAGGGAGTGGAAGAAGGCTCTCCAGCAATAAACAGAACTTAACTTCTAGTTTCAGTGGTTCTTATGTGCTCTGAAGGGAATCTTTCACTCACAAGTTTCCGGATGGATTCCGCTGACATGTCCTGGATCGGTTCCCTCATGTAACACAGCGTATGAATGGGAGACCCAAAGCAACTTGGCAGGTAGTTGCCCGTTACAGATAGAAAATAATCCTTCCCCTTGTTAAGATGCAAAACCAAGATATCTTCAAGTTTTTCCTCTCCAGAGTTTAAGTGTGTAGCTGTTGATTTATTGACAAACACCTCCAACTCAATTGTGATCTTAGCGTCTGCCAAAAGATAAAAAAAATCCAAAAAACAGCCCATACTCAGTTAAAAAACGGTATTAAAGCAGTGAGCCTGCAAACGGACATAGTGCTCTCAAAATAGCAGAGAGAATTAAGCCAGAAGGTGACAATTTAGGTCATTAACATGAGAGGAACAACGAGCTCACCTGCCAGCAGAAAGCCCTTACTGGGGTTAGCAATCAGCCACTCCTTGCAGTAGGTTTGCTCATCAGGTTTGCTGATGAATTCGAAATGGCAGGGCACTGGTCCATTGTGGATTGTAAACTTCTCCACCTGCAGCTGCATGTATTTAACATCCTCAAAATGGAACTAGAAACAAATGTCAGTCAACATCATCAGTTCCACCTTGCCAAGCACCAGCAGCAATGCCTGTCCCCTGGTTTAATCATTAAGCAGCACCATACCCTGAGCCCCAGATTAACCCTCTTGCTCCCGTGCCCCGTCTCCTCCAGGATTACATTTCCTCACTCCATACACTGAAGTTGTCTGCACCAGTGGGCCCTTTAAAACAAATGCTCCCTCAAATAACCCAACAGAACTTGAGAGGAAGATAGCTGTAGCCTCAAATGTCTCATTTGCTTATCTTTTTTAGTCCCCAACACACAAAGCAAATGCCGGTTTTGTGACCTTCTCCAAACCCTTCAGGTTTTACATTTTATGTTTCAAACAAGTCAGAGCAAGGGCAACAAACCCCCCTTTAACTCTGTCTCTCCCCAGCTCAGGGAGTAACACACCCTGCATTTCAGCCTGGTACTGGGAGTGGAATTTACCTGCATCCAGACAGAAACAACTGCTTCTGGGGCTCGTAAACAGAGAACAGCTGGAAGTCAAAATATTCTGCTTCTCTGGAAGCAGATCTCAGGGTCTAGAATCCATCTCATAAACTCCTACCACTGGAACAGGCTCTGGGGCCCAGGGTGACTCGGTGTCACCAGCGAGACACAGCCCAGGGACATACCCTGCCCCTACCTCTCTCTGGGAGAGCGTCACCGAGGGGATGTTGGCATTCTCCAGCTTATCCAGGGAGCGGACTATTTCCTCAAAGGCTTTTCGGTAGAGGTCCTCATCCACCACCTTCACCTGAAAAGGACACACACTGCACCAACTGGTGTTTACTGGGCAGAAGAGCTGTAACACAGCTGGAAACACATGAAGTGATTTGATTTCTGCAGCACACTGGAGCACACAGCACCTGTAATGAACAGGGCCTCTTGGCACACCATCTCCTCAGGATCAAACAGTAAAGGACCTTGCCATAACTCACAAAAGTCACCCAGTCAGCTCTTGATCAGCTTTTTTATTTCCCCCTAAAAGAAGCTTTGACAACACACTACTATGTTGTCAGTGATGTAGCATTCCTGCACTACAAGCTTCTGTGGAAATTACTAGGAAAGTAAGAAAAAAGGCAAAAGAATGTTTCTGAAAAAATACCTACAGATATTTTTTTTCCCCTCCTAAAAAAAAAAAGCTTTCACAACACACTACTATGTTGACAGTGATGTAGCATTCCTGCACTACAAGCTTCTGTGAAAGTTATTAGGAAAGTAAGAAAAAAGGCAAAAGAATGTTTCTGAAAAAAGACCTACAGATATTCATGCATTATTCTGCTTAACTGAAGTATCAGGTAGCACAACCCTGGCTCCCTACGAACAACAATCCTCTCTCAATCCTATCTCATACCTTATCTAGCCCACCTTTTAAGCCATTGGAACAATCCTCTCTCAATCCTATCTCTGTACCTTATCTAGCCCACCTTTTAAGCCATTGTTCTTCCTGGATGCCATAAAAGGCGGAGGAGAGGGAAATCAGCAGGAGAACCTCCCTCCTCCCCACACACAGCACAAGGTCAACAGAGCTATTTCCTTCAGCACTGAGGCACTTACCCCGATATCAAACACAGAGCTGACTGGCTTATGGTCACTGATCTTCAGAGCCATGTGGCTGCGGTAGCTCAGCTGAGAGACGTTCTGCCCTTTCCAGAGGATCCGATCACACCACGCTGGGACGCGACACTTCTCACTACAACAGAGGAAAAAGGAGAGTTTCCAGGCCCAGTTTGGAGGAAGGACAACGCACGGCAGAATCCTGCTCTCCCAGAGACTCCTTTCCTGACATGGCCTGCGCCTCATTCTCTATCAAAGGTCTATTTTCCACAGTTTCTTCGAGTAGTTATAAAAGGTTTGATTGTTTACTGTCAGGCATCTCGATATCATGCTTTACTTTCTACCTCTTCAAAGATGCAATTATTTGGTTTGTTCTTTTGATACAATCAACATACAAAGAAATACTCAGACATACTTTTGACTGCAAGAACAACGAAAAACAAGAACTCAGGTTCTACATTCGAAGTCCCCATTTTAATATTATTTTTCCCCACTGACTGCTGCACAGATTTCATCCCCACACTTGAAGCCAAAGCTCACTAAGAGCAGCTCAGCCACTCTGTGTAGTGCGTTGCAGGAATAATGGCTCTCACAGTCTTTTGGAGAATGCACTCAGGTACAGACAGCACAAACGCACCATTTCCAACCCTGGTGCTCTCACTGAGCAGATATAGCAGGTATCAGCAAATAAAAGATCCTAAAATTTTGCCTGGTGGAAAAAAAGCGCGAACCAAAACGATGCAACTAATTGCAATAATCTCAGAACCGTTCATGTTTATAGTCATTAGATCTGCAATTCTTTTTAGCTTTGTTTTTACTTCCTTTAGTGATAACATTAGCCATTGGTAGCATCGCAAATGAGGCAATCACCATACCTCGTGTCCCAGTCATCGCAGCCAGCATCGTATTTGTAGGTTGGCTGGAAAGAAATCTCTCCCTCTGTAAAGCCTTCAAAGGCTGCATTTGCATTAATTTGCCTCTTTAGCTATGAAAGAAAAAAAAAAAAGACAGATTTAATTTTAACTAAGGTCAAGCACAACTTCCACGTGAGCTCGAAGGGAGATGTTGGGCACTGAGAAGGCTGAGGAGCACCATGGGGTTTGTATGGAGCACCCTCAGCACCACCTGCAGGCAGGAGGGACACCAGTACCTGGTCATACTGGCAGAGCTCCAGAAACGCTCTCTCATCCACCAGCTGCTTCACTTTTGCCACATCCAGTTCCTCCAGCCGATAGTTGAGGTCACCCAACCATAAGATGACACTGGAAGAGAAGGTAGACCAGGATCCTGCTGAGAGGGTTAAGGACATCCGAAGCACAGGCTGGTGAACTAGAGGCACAGCTCCCAGCAGAGCCCCACAGCTCCCAGCAGAGCCCCACAGCTCCCAGCAGAGCCCCACAGCTCCCAGCAGAGCCCCACACCATCCAGTGCCAGCCTGAGCTCCCCTGATCTCACCATCATTGGGTGGGTCTGTGCTTCTCCAGAGAGAGCAAGGAAGAGTGAAAACTTGGAGAGAAGCTCCATTTTCTACCTGTTTTTAACTCCTGTTCACTGAATTTCACTGAATTTTTAGAGTTGGAAGGGACCATAGAGATCATCTAGTCCACCTCCCCTGCTGAAGCAGGATTGCCCAGAGCTTGTCAGAGCATGTTACTCAGGAGCATCCAGGTGGGGCTTGAAAATCTCCAAAGAAGGGGACTCCACACCCTCCCTGGGCAGCCTGACCCAGGGCTCTGCCACCCTCACTGTGAAGAAGTTTCTCCTCATGTTTGAGTGGAACCTCTTCTGTTCCAACTTGTGCCCGTTGCCCCTCGTCCTCTCACTGGGAACCACTGAAAAGAGTCTGGCTCCCTCCTCCTTCAACCCTCCCTTGAGATACTTGTCAGCATTGATAAGGTCTCCCCTCAGCCTTCTCTTCTCCAGACTAAAGAGTCCCAGCTCTCTCAGTCTTTCTTCATAAGGGAGATGCTCCAATCCTTGAATCATCTTCGTTGCCCTTCGCTGGACTCTTTCCAGTAGTTCCCTGAACTGTTCTGCATGTTTGCCACTACCTCTGAATAACTGCTGCTTTTAATATTCCACACAGACTAAATCCCACAAGCCATGGGGGAAATCGAAGCACATGATTGCCCCATTCCCACTTCATGCTTGAAAACAGAACAAGGCCTGGAGGAGCACAAGGCAGAAAAGTGACCTGTCGGAACCGTGTAGGTGACCACTCTCAAAACCAGGGTTACACCACTGGGCACCCCCTTCTGACACCCCCCAGAGAGAATCTCACACCCCAGACGTGCCCAAGGCTCCTCCTTGCCCCACGTAGCCGTTCACAGATGGCAGACATACTCGTGCTCACTGATAGTGAGAGGGGGCAAATTTGGATCCGACTGGCAGAACTGCATCCGAGAGCAGATGTCTTTGAAGTCCTGGTTCCTCCTCTCATATTCCTCCATGTGAGCTGCAAGGTGAGAATTCACAACGCACACGCTAGTGTTGTGGAATTTAAACCTTATGGCAACACCACCTTTGTTACCCTGAAAGATAAAGACAAAGACTTTGGTCAGAAGCTTCTGCACAACAGATGAATCCACAAATGAGTCACTAGCAGTGGACAAGCCTGGAGAGACTGAGGCCGACCATTTAATCCCACAGGAAGGAAAAGGCTGAAAATGCCAATTAGTGATAACTACTCCATGAATTCAAGTCAGTACCTCACATGAGGGTTGCACACAGCAAGCAAGCACATGGAACCCAGTTTGTAATGGAGGAGTTAGCTGGTACAAAGGGAAATTAAAATCAGCAAGAGAGCTGGTCAGTTGCTTCAGCAAGTCCTGGAACCTGTTTAGCAACAAACTGGATCTTTCAACACAACCCATAAAAAAAAAGCTGTAAGTGGAGGAGGAAGCACATGGCTTAGCTGGTCAAAAACACCTTGGAGAAGTTAGAGCTGCAACCTTCACAGAAACTACATTCAATGGGCATAGGCTCCACATCCCCGTGGTGTGGAATGGCGAGGGGCCAGGAAATCCTCCTCAGGAAAACTAATCTGGATAGACATGTTTCTTCTACTTATGCTTCCTTGTGTCATTTGCTTTGGGCAAAATCACAGCCAACATCACAATCGCATGAAATGAAAGCCCAGTGTGTGCAATCAGGAAAAAAAAGCTTCAGAAAAAGATTCTCCCCCAAGGTCTTTGAGCCTTTGCGAGCACATGGCAAGGTCCTGAGCTGGCACAGGGACAGGACTATGTGCTTCCAAAGGCAGCTGCACCCCTTTCCTGGAGGAATAACCACCACATCTAAGGAGAGGGGCTCTCCAGGGCTCTTCTAAATCCCACCCCTTTTCATGCAGTTGCCATTCTTACCATCCTGCCCATGATTCCAGTTCCCACAGTCTCAATTTCCACCTCAGAGATGTTCAAAGCAAGGTCTGCTCTCACGTACAAGAGAAGCATGATTCCCACAAGCCGCACAAGTTTCACCTGAAAAACAGATCCTGTTCCATTAAATACTAGAAGGGGAGAGGTTTGATGAGAGCAGGCACATCACCCAAGTCCAGAACACAGGTCACCAAAACACAGATGAAGAAAGAGAGAGCTCCAGGCTCATCCGATGGACCAGCTGGGCTCACTGGGACTCCAGCAGCACAGCACAGCGGGGAGCCAGGGACCAGCACCCCACAAAATGAAGCTGAAGCCCAAAGCAAAACCTACAGCACCAGCAGAGCCCATGGAAGGAGCTTCCCTTCAACAAGAGAGACAAAGCAGACCTAAGAAGCAGCAGGAGCCAGAACATAAGCACTATTCCTACCAAGATAACTTCACAGTAGGAGCCAGAACATAAGCACTATTCCTACCAAGATAACTTCACAACTCATTCTGCTCTGCATTGCCAAGAGGGACATGGAAAAGCTAAGGTACTTGCTGCTCTCCTCCCCCAAGAGACCAGGAGCATCCTTCACACGTGGACACCTGGTCTCCTGTCCTGCCCCTGCCACAGCAGCACCCTCTCCTGCACCTCAGCACTGCCACTGAGCGAAAGCCTGAGGACAAGGAGCCTCTGGAGGACACAGAGATTGAGAAAAAGAAAAAGCAAAGGGAAGAGAGGCCCAAGTGGAAAACGATTCCACACTCAAACCTCCCCAAAAAGCCACATTTACCTTTGCATATTTGGCATCTGGGTGAAGACTATCAGTTACAGCTTTAAACCACTCTTCTTCCTTCGGTGTGTCATTGAAAAAGAAGGCTTCTTTACTCAGATCAAGCTCCTGGAAACTGTGTTAGAGGAAGGAACCCGTGGATGCATGCACTTGTTTATAACTCTCCAGCCCTTTCCTCTGGGAAAGAACTAAATCAATTTATACTCCATGAATTCAGTCATGCTGAGTTTAGGTGTATGTTAAACGTAAAGCTAAATTACTATTGGTGTTAAATGGAATGGCATTAAAGATTTCCTAACACGGCAGTGCCAGAGAGCCCAAACACCACCAGCAGCACAGCCCTCCCAGGCCACGCAGCCCCACTCCGGGGCGTGCAAGGGGGTGAAATGCTGCAGACACCCCTCAGCTGGGCTGTCAAACACCTCATGCAACACCTTCACAAGCAGCTACCCCGGGTCCAGGCATGGAAGGTCGTCCAGAAAGAGACACTCACCCCACGCAGTAAACATCTGGGGGCTCAGCATCACACCTCAGCCAGGGCTGGAGGCTCTCTCGGGGCGGTTGGCCGTTCACGTTGTACGTCCCGACAAAAAACCTGCAAAGAAATTAACTAAATCCCAGAGCTGCAAGTGTTAGAGCTGATGGAAATTGGAAATACCACCATTAATAACCCATGCACGTAATACTACATATAACTATTTAGGAGACCACCATTAATAACCCACGCACGTAATACTACATATAACTATTTAGGAGTAACATTCTTCCGGGCGGGGCATCAGGAAAATGTGATATAAATTACAGAAAATATTTAATTACAGTAGCATCTTTATAGACATGTTTTACAGAAGGACACACATTTTTACGTACAGTATAAAAAAAAAGACTATGAGAGCTGCACAGTAGGAGTTTGAAATGATAAATTCATAGGATGACATGCATAAAAGGATTGCAACCACAGCAAATTTTGGTCCTAATTACATATTTCACCCAAGCTCTTATAAGCTTATTGGAACAGCTACAGGGATAAATGGTGAACAGCAGCAGTGAGAGCGAAGGCCAGAGGTGCACAGAATTGAGGCATTTCCAGACACAGTCTGAAACAAGCACAGGAAAAAGTAATTTCAAAAAAGCTGTTTTCTCCACAAGAACCATGAGGCAAACCTTGACAGAGACACGAATGAAATCCTTCTCTGCTAATGCCTAAACAAGGAAAACAAGCTGTTCTGGAAAGTATGGATTGTAGTTTTCTACAAAAACTCCTATTTGCAGGGATACTCGATGAAATAACACAGGTGAGTTATTTTGACAGCTCATGCTAACTAACTTACTCCCCACAAAAATACCTTCTTCTCAGGAATGATCAGTACCTGAAGTTCTGGATGTGTGTGTAGGAATCCTCCATTTGTAGAAGCTGAGATTTAACAATAGTATCTCTTAGTCCAAAATTTGGTTCTGATAAGATTGAAGCCGTGTTTGAATCCATTATGCTGGAGGACCGCACCATTTCAGTTGTCACTTCAGGTTTGAGTTTGTTTTGCCTGCAAACGAAAGCAAAACTGTGTGATGGAACCCAAATACACATACCCCAGTAACAGCCTATTCCTGCCACTCCACTCGCATTTATCTGTTTCACTACAGACAAACAATCAATGGCTGGGGTAAGCAAACAAGACTGAAATGGGCATTTCTTAGAACAGTTCAGATCTCTAGATAAAACCAGTTTAACAGAAATAACAAATGGTTTTCACTAACCCAGTGCAGGCTGTTAAGTGAGAGCACACCCTACTCACACCTCAATATTGGTACAAAACCCATGTCCCTTTCCTGCTTACAGGGGCAAATGCAAATCTCATTTTCCACTGCCTCTGCTCAGCCCTTCTGACCTCAGCACAAGAACGAAAAACCGCGTTTGTTTTAAAAGCCTTCCTTCTGGTGGAAAAAAATCCCAGCTCTGCCTGGAAAGGAGGCAGCGCAGAGTGGGTGGAGGTAGAGGTGGTTTTCTTTATTATCTTGTGACTTTGCAAACTCCTTTTGCAGCAGTAATAATGCCACAGCTTGGGAGTTCCCACAAGCAAATGGATGGTATCAAGTCAAGGTCAACAACCTGGGCGGCCGTGCCAAGGACAGCACAGACAGACCCCGAAGGGTCCACAAAGTCCTGGGAACTGGAAAATGAAACTGTAACGTTTGAGGAGTGTATCTATGAGACAGGGTGGCCCGAAGCCAAAGCTCTCCGAATTCAAAATAAACAACGCTGGTGGGTCCTGTCCCACTCAACAGCAAAAATATGCCCAAATAGGGGACTAGAGCACGAGAGACCGCGCTGAAGTTTCCACTGAAGTTTTGACAGCGTGCTCATTTTTTTTTTTTTCCTCTCCTAACTACAATCTACAGATTCTCTTCTCTCAAAAAGTTGCCAACTTCTGCTCTCAACCCCACCACCTCCGGGGACTGCAGCCGGCTCGGTCGCCGGCAGATGGAAGCAGATAAGGCAGCCGCAGGGTGGCTGCAGCGCCGGTGTGTGCACCGACCTCACACGCCTGCACACACACCAACTTCCCACTCCGTGTCCAACTGAAAAGCAGGAAGCCCAAGCAGAAAGCTCTCTGCACTTTATTATATTTTTTTTTCCCTCTAGACACCCACGCATCAGCAGTTTCCCCACTGCAAGCTCCTTCCATCCACGCACTGTCCCCCAGAATTTTGGTGCTCTAGATATTTACAGAGATCCTCTGCGGAGGGGAGGCAGAGCTAAATCAGCAAAACCACCACTCTCACCCCTCTCTGCACCTTCCACAAAGAGCTGACGAGCACAACTCTCGCTTCACCAAAGCTCTGCAAGGAGTGAGAGAGATATGGTACCTGGGGGTACTTTTATCCGTGCTGTCGTGGCCCCGGTTCAGGCTGCCCGAGAGCTTCTTCCCATTCTGCTTGATGCCTTCAGAGCCAACTGCTTCTGGAAAAAGAAAAAAAAAAAAAAAAAAACAAACCAAAAAGTTTCACTTTAAACACAAAAAGTTCTTTATCTTTTAAAGTGTATTTACACTCTTAAAGTGTATTTATCAATACACTTCATCAAACACTGGCAAAAATCCGCCAGCAGAATCCAATTTGGATTTGAGGGGAGAAACCGAGTGTCCCACAGCCTCTCCCACAGGCACCCGACAGAGTGAGTTTATTTTGACAGAGCTGTTCTGTGATGCTGCAGCTTCCCCTCCATCAAAAGGGCCAACATGAGCTGCCCAGCAACGGGCACAGGTTGCTGCTGGCTCTCCCTTACAGCTAAGCCAGCCTGGGGCTTAGCAGCACAAAATCCAGGGCTTTATCGCAAGAATCCCAAAAATGTACGTTAATAACAGGTTTTTTACTTTCTGAAGCAAGACAGGAAGTAGAAAGAAAGGAAGAAAAAAGGAGGGGGGAAAAAACCAAACCCCACCACGCTGCCATTTAAAGTGTTTCTGCCAATCTGCAAATAGAGACCAAAGCACCAACATCCCCCCAAACCTCGGGGCAGCGCGGAACAGAGTCACCGCAGCAGAAACAAGAGCCTCAATGCAACCTGCTGCTCCTAAAAACATAACAGGGCAGCTACCGTGCAAATACAGCAGCTGGGACACTGAACACTCCACACCACGTTAGCAAAATTTGACCCATTTTTCAGCATTTTGTTTCAGTTACCGCATTGGGCTCCTACAAGTGGCAAAATGACAGTGAAAAGAGAGGGTTCTGCATGGGGGTCTCTGTGTTTAAGATGCACAAACAACAATCTCAAGATCGTGCTACTTAGCACACAAATCTAACGGTGAGGGAGAAATTGTTCTTAAGATTGTAAGGTTCTACTCATTCAGCTGAGCTTCTCCTTCAGTGAGCATAATTCAGAAAAAATGAAAGTGCTGTTGCTGTCATAGCATGTTCTCCAGGACAAGATCACAAACCACAACCAGAACTTGAAGTACTTTACCTAAGCACTCAGAATATAAACAAGCTGATAAGAAGTGGCCTTATTCTCGGCTTGGAAAGCCTCTTCTACCCAAGAGCCCTCTGAGAATAAAAGACGGCGTAAGAGGATTTATCAGAGGCTGGGTGCAGGGGAGCACGTGACACAAACCTCACGACAAACCACGCAGCCAAAGTCACGTAGAACCGAGCAGCAGCACGAGCAGCCAGAGGGGCACGGGGGAGCGTGGGCTCAGGGGGGTGAGATGGAGCTATAACTTCTCTCCACAGGCACCGAGAACTTACTCAACCCACTTGCAACCTCTGCAGGTTCTCCCCATAAAGCCCACGCAACGTATCCTGACAGGAGCCAACCTGAGTGTTGACTTTGACAGAGGATTGTTATCGCTGTTCCGAGGAGGACGCAGAAGCTCGGGCTTTATCTCCAGCTGGGATGGTGCCTCTCACCAGCACCCAGCACCTCGCTGCCCCAGGGGCCAGAGCCCAGTTCCTGCTCAGCGCTGCTGACACAGCTGCCACGGGATCCAAAGATCATGGTCAGATATCACACTTTTGCGTGGTAACCTCCAGAGCAGGGATCAGCTTTAGGTAGGATTCTCCTAAGAGATTAGCCCTGGAAAAGGACTGTTTCCTTCAGGTAAATTTATACCCAGAGGCAAGCTGCTCTAGCCAGAGGGATCTCTATGTTAGCCATCTGCAGTGGCGTATTTTAGCAAGGTAATGACCTCGTTCAATAATTGATCTGGGCACAGAAATAAAGAGCCATGTGCAGAGATTACAGCTCAGCAGAATGTGCGTGGCCCAAGCCAGAGGATTTCCAGTTAAGAGAGATTTAAGTAGTAATAAAGATGTTGTTGTTAAAAATGTGCAGTGGCATTGTGGTTCTGTTCTACAGCAGGAACGTGTGTTTTATCTTCTGGGTAAAGTAGGATCCGTGCTGAGTGTTCAAAAGGGAGAATCCAATTAGCATTACCATTAATTATATGAGCCTTGGCCAGTCCCCTCTTTACTTAAGGGAGGTAACAGCCCGTGTGGGACTGGGCTACTCGGGGCTGGAGGGAAGGAAAATCGTTCTTCCCAGGGCTCCAAATGAAGCAATGCTGCAGCAGTGACAGCACACACACACACACACACACACAGGTAGGATCTTAGGTAGGGATTTAACCACAATTGTGAACAAACCATACAAGATAAAGCACATTTAAATCCATTCATAGATGCTCTCGCTCGTTAGCCAGTCTTAATTCACAGAAGATAAAATGAATTAATATCACTTCACTAGCAAACAGTAGTATTTACAGTGTTTAAATGTGCTTTGATTTGTGTGTGGAAGTTGCTAACTCAGTACCCACGGGCATTTAAGGACAGCTATTCCTAGAAAATGGCAGACAAAACCTCATTCTCTACCAATTTAGGTTCCAAAAGACCCCAAGTGATGGCAGAGATTGTTTTCTTCCGCAAATACAAGGAGAAAAAAAAAAAAAGAAAAAAGAGAGAGAGATATCCTCAGACTTCTCCAACTCAAAAAAAACCCTCACAATGAAGCCTTGAAAAGGCAACTTTGTCAAAGCTCAGAGGCGTGACTGGATGGAGCTACTTCCCAAGGAGCTCACCGTGCAGAGAGTGCTCCACACACAACAAAAACACAACAAAGGAGCCGGGATTGTGTTTCATTCACCAGTTTTTGCTCCCAAACACACAGACACGGCCCAGCCTCCCCCAGTCGGAAGTTAAAGAGGGGGTGCCGGGGACTCCCAGACCCCCACCCGCCTGCGCCGCTGCCGCAGTTACAAAGTTTACCCTTTTTGGGTTTTTCGATGCGCTGCTGAGAAACATGGAAATGAAAGGAGGGGCCGGGAGCGGCACCGAGCCCTTCTCCAGGTGCTCGCAGCCCGGCCCCGCCGGAGGCGGCTGAGCCAGACCTGCCGGGATTCACCGGTGACCCCAGGAGCTCCCGCCGCTCCCCCCACCTTCTCCCACCTCCCCTTTGCAAACCGGCCACGGTTACCGGCACCTCCGGGGACCCGGCATCCCCGGGGAGCGCCGGAGGAGGCGGCGGATCCGGCGGAACCGACCCGCCCGAGGGGCCGCCGGTACCGGCTGCCAGAACCGGGAACCCCCCGGCGACCCCC